ATACAGTATACAGGCTTTAGAACTTTAGGGAGTTAGGGGTTAGGGATTGGTCCTGAGGGTTGCGGGACGTCGTAAGTCGGCTTCTGGCAGTCTGAGAAGATGGATAACTCTGGGGTAGTTGGGGTTCTACTGGTCATCCACTCATAAATGGCTCCCTCCAAAAAGGCACGGACGACAGACTTTCTCGCGGGATTTCGGAAGTTACGTTTCGCTGGTCTCTCGAAACTTCGGAGTACAAGGTCCGCCTTTGTTGAGTCCAATCCCGCAAGCCCTCCCTCGGTTACCCTAGAAACCCTACATCAACCCATCAACACCGACCCTACAGGCTAAACCTCAGACCCTACCGGTACGTGAGCCCTAAAGCCTACACATATGATCCAGACAGGGGTCTGTGATCAGGCGGCTTGCTGCGACCATCTGTTCAAAGCACCAGGGTTTCGGAGGCTTCCATAAGGGATCCCTTGTAGCTTCTCTAGAGGATCGAAACCGGCGTTCTACAAGGGATCTTTCAGGATTCTTTCAAGGTTCTGTACTGGCCTGCTCTCTTATGCTTCGAAATTCGCGTTCTACGAGGATGCAAGAGAGTCCAGGGGCTGAACACCCGACGCAAACCGCGATCTCATTTCGGATTTGTGACCACGCAGTGCGCAGACGCAGTATTGCAACACGTGCAATGCGGTCTGCCTCCGCATCCGCGCACCCAAGTATAGTCTTCGCGGCCTTCAGCGGGCGTCTGCCGGTACACACCTGCTGCAACACAGGAGAAGTCTGGAAATGCGATAGTTCAGGTATGAATTCATTTGACTCTATGCTGGGTCACCCATGTTCAATAAACTTCTCCAATACACGAGGGCAACGGACTTGTTGCTGTGCTGGTACACCTAAAGGGTCCAACTAATAGTACGTATAGTCTACTTTTGAGGGCCCACATACCTACTAAGTACCTAATATAGTGGTACTTGGACCTCATAGAACCCTTACAGGAACCCCTATACATCCCTTAAAGCAACCCTGATAGATCCCTTAAAGGAACCCTGGTGTCGCTTAAGGCGTGGAAGAAAGCGCCAGTTCCATCCGAGATCCGACCGCGTCCGGTCCTTAGATCCTTGCGGCTCAAGGCTTGAAGCCCTAAACCCTAATATAGGGACCTAATGATTACCAATAGGCTTCCCTTACAGGGATCTTCAAGGGCTCTATAAGGGATCCATAGTAATTAGGGTTCTATAATATAGGGGCTTAAATAATCAATTACTGATAATTTTTGGGTCCTTATTATAGTTCTAGTATTTTGGGCCCCCCAAAACCCTGTTCTAATTATTACGGAAACCGTAAGCTCTATCCTCAAGATCGAAGTACGGCAGGTGCAGGCTTGTTTCCTGGCTTTATAGGGTCTGTGCCAGGAGTAGCGAGGGCACCAAAGAAAGATGTGCGGGGAGTGCTTTGCAGTTTCAGTCTTCCGTTGATTGTAGAGCATCGGATGCTTTGCGGGCAGTTTTGAGCCTTCCGTTCACTGAAACGGGTGTGACGTTTCCTACAGGAGAACTTGGGTGTGGGTGGGGTTCAATGCATGTTGCTTTACACTGTTCATGCCAGAGATGCTGGAGGTGATCTTGACCTTGACGAACTAGCAGGATGAACTTCAACTTTTGGTACAATCACATGACCCTGGTACCAAAATCACCGCATCGCCGGATCAGTGGCAAGGAAACCTGCTCGCTCCCCCACATTTTGGCAGCCCAGCGTCCGGCTGCGACTCCATACACCTTGTCCCTCCCGCAAACCATAATTCGGTTTAGGGTTTAGGGTTAATAGACGACTCGCTCGGACCGGGCTGCTGGACAACGAGGCCTGCTGCAAAAAAGGGTTAATAGTCACCAGAACCAGATACCAAGCTTGTCCTTGCAGGTACGTGGTGTCGGCTGTTCGGCGCATCATCAACGAAAAGGTGCGGAAGTCTTAGGTAATTGTACACACTTGATCATTGCGTTGCATGCGGAACCCGAATCTAAAAAAAAGGCTGTGTTTGTGCATCTCACTCCCAACCTCACCCTCTAACGTTTCGGCGATGCTGTTTCCAAGAGCACGACGTGTTGAACAAAATCCTGCACAACTGCGGAGCAAAGAGGTTAATCAAGGACCCTGAACCTGCAGAACCCTAAACCTGGTTTTTTGCTACCGCGCACGGAAGCCCCGAAACGATTTGTGCCAAACCCGCCTGGGATCTGACCTCACCTCCACAGATGTGCCACGGACCCCTTGTTTTGATCACAGCAGTTCATACGGTTTCCTGTTCCTGCTCTTGCTTGTGCTCCTGCTTGCTCCCGCTCTTGCCCATGTCTGACCCCTCTCCCGCGCCTGCTCTTGCCCTTGTTCCTGCTCTGGCTCCTGCTTTTGATCTTGCTCCTAAACCGCCCCAACTCCAAAAGTAGTTTGAGAAAGGCTGACATGCTTTCAGGCAGGCTTTCCGGAAAGTGTGTTATTGAAAGGTGTTTCATGCAAGGGGGAAGCCATTGGTTTGAAAACAGTGGGGAAGTATTCCCCCATAGTGTTATAATACTTAGTGCCTTTATAATCATCATAATCTCATATACTCCAAAGCCCTACTCTCATGTTTAAGCCGCCTTAAGCAAGACCGGATCCCGTGAATTTCACCAAACCTTCCAGTCGCAGGGCGGACGATGATCCCGCGGAGAATGATTCCCAGCAATAAGCTGGCCCTCGCGATTTTAGTGCCGAAGTGCTTGGGCTTCATCTTTGTCATAGTTGGGTAACATTTTACATGTTTCTGGGTACTTAAACCCAATAAGGAATAAAAATGTACATGTTTAATCCTATCCCAACAATGATGTAGTCATTAGGATCTAGGCTTCTTCGAGGCTTTGGCCCCTAAACCCTGAGGCCCACGATTAGCAATCGGCAATCCCGGGTGGCTCCGTCATCTTTATTCACTTGCGGCTAAGAAATAAGCTGCTCACTAATTTGGGCGGTACGGTTGATGATATAAATCCTGCACTACCCATAATAAGGAATATACCATAATTCCCATAGTTTAGGGTCCTTAAGGTAATGCAGGATTTATATCATCAACAGTATGGGCTTCGTAGTTGAGTGGTCTAGAAGTTCGACGAGTCGATCGCAGGCATGTCTTCCCTGCCTTTTAGTTCGTTAGAATAATATAGGGGCCTCAATGATTACCCCTCGTATTTGGGGGGCTCCTTACTATAATTCTAGTATGCTGGGCCCAACATGCTATTCTGATTCTAATTATTAAGGCCCCTATATTCGGTTGCGATAAGGGTTTGTACAAGGATTACTAGTTGGTTCAGGGCTCAGGGCCTGACTTGCCTCAAGATTTGAACGGATCTCGCGAGCCCGACATGCCATGATTCCACGTAAGAACATATGGGTGGTTGTCAGAATTATGGTGCCTTTTGGGGTCCCTAATATAATACGGCACCGATTATTTTTTGGGTACCCAAAAGGGTGCCATAATTTAGACAACTAGCCATATGGGGACGAGTTTCTCATAACCAAGGGTCCGCATCATAAGTTTCCTACTATATAACATAGGGGCCATAGCGTATCCTTATGGCCCCTTGATTTGTGCAGCTCCCATACATGCCATAGTAGACATCCCGCGACCTAGGGTTCTGGTTTCGGGCTTGTAAACCTGAGTTCCGCCCAAAAGCAAGAGCCCCTCCGCTATGGGCCTGAGAGCTATGAAAAGTCATGAACATGCTGGCAGGCCCTGCTTAGCGCATCACTGCAGTGCAGGCGAAAAAAAGATTCGCGAGATTTTTTGGGAATGTGTTACGTTAAGACAGACAAAATTGATCTGATAGGGGGATAGTCTTGCGAAAGACTTGGGTTGTAGGCTTGAGGCCATGTGCTCGATGTTGGATTTGCACATCCAGCCCTCGAAGATCACTTGTTGACTTTAGCAGAAGCAAGAACTTCGTGCACGAGCCCGAATCATTCAAGCTTTGACCGACTTTAGTCAGATAGGCCAGGCGCTTGATGGAGCCATCAAAAGCCGTAAACGCTCAATGTAATACCCCAGACCTCATCATAAGTAGATCTGAGAATTTCAAAGGACCTATAGGACCCGATTAAGGAGGCGCCACTCATCTAGCTGGCAACTCCGAACATAGGAGCTAGCCAGTTTTTGATAACTGTAAATTTAAGTTGTGGCCTTGCACGAGTGTCGCGGGGACTTGAAGTACAACTCGCCCCTGTATCCGCCAACTGCTTTGTTCTGGGCTGCAGCCAACCGTATTTATAGCCTAAACCCTATAACCCGTTAGGGGTCGTTCAAAAGAAACCCTAAACCCTGAAAAGTTGGGGCTTCGGGTTTAGGGCGTAGGTTATGGGACATTCAAAGCCTCAACGAAGCGCCTTAAGGTGCGAGGTTTAAGGTGAAGGCGCGAGGGTTCAGGATGGAAGGCTGGAGTTCTCAAAATTCTCGGTCTCTTCAGTGTTAGGGGGATGGTATCTTGTGCTGATAGTCACGATCCTAGTAATCAGGGCAGACCGGTATATTCAAAACCCTCAGTTTCTATTTGGGGTCCCCTCCCCTCTGGCTCTGGCAAGGCCCAGATTCTGCAATGGCGTTCCGATGGAAGTAGAAAGTTTAGGCTTTAGCGCATCGGGTTATAAGTCTCAAGTAGGCGAGGTACAAAGCAAGTTCAAAGCAGGGCAACAGTTATAAACCCCACTACAAACCACAGTTTGCAGTGATGGGATGGCCAGATTCGGATTTCAGGTCTAGGGCTTGGATTTGAGGGTTTGGGATTGGGGATGGGTTCAGTTCAGAAGGTTAGGTTCGATTCGGGTTTAGGCAGTGAGGCAGACGATGGAGCAAGATGTGAAGTGATGCAGGGAATCTCAGGCAGGAAGCGCGGCTTGAGCGCCCGCCATTTCGAGGTCATGTTGGGTCAATGTCGCAAATCATTACGACTTTTTGCACCTCGTGTCCTGATTGATGACATAGCCGATCTGCCATGCAGCGACGATGGTCCCTCCAAGCTGCAAGCCTCCGTCAAGACGGCCTTTTTCGCGCTACCACAGCTACGGCGACTGGCTGCGATGTTGGGGGTAGCTAGCAAATTTGCCTTTCTTTTGCTGGTAGATTAAACTTCCTTGACCTAAACTTCCTTGACCAGAACCCAGGTGATCCTGTCTCGTCTCGGGGGAATATTCTCTGCAACTCCACTGCAGGAGGATCTCTTTCAAGAAACCAGGGTTGTGGAGGCCATTGATATCTTCGTCAGTCACTCCTGGGCAGCAGATCGCTGGGCAAAGTTTCTGGCCATGTGCTTCGCCTTGAACTTGAGCCTGGCAATGAAGTCCACACTCGCCGCAATTCTTCTGGGTCAATGCTTGCTTGGACTTCTCCCTGCGCAGTCAGCTTCTGGGCTGTTAAGTGTGCTGGAAAATGTCCTTATGATGGTAACTTGACGTGTATTCGCCTCGTAATTTAGAATTAGTCAGGTTAGCATGGTCTTTCTGGTCGCCATGGATGTGCCGGTTCTCGCCTTCTTCCTTGTGCTCTTGTTCGGACAGCAAATCACTTGTGGGCTCTGGGGCCCCAGCCTTTGGCTAGACAGAATCTGCGTCAATCAGAACATCCAGTCGGACAAAAAGAGGGCCATCGCAGGCCTTGCTGCTTTCGTGGCGCGCTCGTCACAGATGCTGGTGCTCTGGGACGAGACATACTTTCAGAGGCCTTTCTGGGCTTTCGGTCTAAGCTCAATACCTCAGCCTTAAACCCAAACCCCCAGCTCCTGTAGCTTCGAAGCAGGGGTCCCGTTTGTCTGATGTCAAGTCAGAGTAAAGACAAACTCTAGTTTAATAGTTCCGCTTCAGGACCGCATATTACGACTAATGGGGGTTGGCAATGCCACTCATCCACTGTCCCATTCCTCGACTGGGGTTCTGAAGTGGATCTTTTGATCTTGGGGCGCATAACTCGTAGAATACCCGGCCGATGTTCTGCATTCACTAGGTATTTCTGCACAGGCTTCGACAGACCATATCTCGCGCTTAGATAACGTTTGCTATCAACCTGCTTGTGCTGCAAGAGGCTATGGTGCAACTTCGAGCTATCTGTCTTCCTAAAGTGCCACGACGTGAGGAAGTTGCAGTTCGTTCCACTCTGGCTCCCACCATGGCTTCTGACCACAATGACATGCTGCTATGCTGGAGGACGTCTCGCCGCCATCGCTGCAGCGTTCGCTGACATCCAGGCTCTTGAAGATCAGAGTGGTAGCCAACACGCGGGTCGTGGCACTGCCCTGGCTTTCGGAACGAACCGATTGCTGAAGTATATCGCAGATGGCCAGGGCTTCCTCGTCTTCTTCATTCCTTCATTGATATTCAGCATCGTATCCTTCCATGCAAAGCTTCAAGGCCACCGGCTGATGCTTCAAAGCATCCGAAACTTCGACCTAAGAGCAGCGGACTGTGCCATTGAAGAGGATCGGCTTCAAATCGAGGCACAAGTCTGTGAGCTTTTCGATGGACTCGAGGAGCCGATAATTGTCTCGAGGAGGCAATCCGAGATCTTTGCTCTGCCTTCCCTGCCAATTTAAGAAGTACTTAGATATTCACTTCAAGCCCCCTTAAGCCTTAAACTGCAACCCAGGTATCACCAATTGAATCTACTGCTACATTCTCGGACAGCGAGGAGATCAGCTTGCCAGTGCTGTCAGTGGAGGAGAGGCGTTCGATACGTGCAGTCACAGGTTATGCTAATGATGGCGAGTGCATCGGCGCCTTTAATTCGTACGTGCATGGGCCCCTTCTAAATGCAGTCATGGAAGACCTGGGAGACGAAGTGCAAGCACCATGGCTTGTGTGCTCCTTGAGTTTTCTTCCTGCAACCCTGTGTTTCGTGGCCTTGACGTTGACTTCGGCACCTGACTTCCGCAGCGCAGGCTTTCCTTCGGCTGAGCTCTTCGTCGCCGAGAACTACGTTCAGATTCTCTGCATGACCTTGCTTATTCTACCGTTGGCACATCCTCTGCTTCTACGTGCAATGAGCTTCTTTGCAACCATAGATGGACCCGGAGTGCTCAGGGGCATGTTGGCCCTGGCAGCAGGCATTGCTATCTACAGCTTTCTTCTGCTCGTGTCGTCTATACTAACTGGAATGCTGGAAGTCTTCGTGCTAACACTGCATGTCGCATTTCTTGCTGGGTTCTTGGTGTCCTTTCTGCTTGTTTTCGTTGCAAGCCGTAGTCTTTTTGGTGGCAGCCACTGGCTGTGGCAGCTTCCGGAGATATCTTGCAGGTGCCTGGCCCGAACTTAATCAATTTGGAGGGCCGACACATTTAAATGCCGCGTCCTCAAACGAGGCGCGACGCCTTTTGTCAAACCTTTCTCTATCAACACTAAGCACTCCGCCTGAAACGAGCGGATGACGTAGCAGGCATGCAGTTGTAAATTGCATCCTGCCATCTCAAACGACTAGCTGGGACCGATGGCCCGAACGTTCTTTCGCAAGCTCACCGTTGTCAAAACCCGTCCAGCATCCGCTTGACGAAGCTTGTAATCCAACCTACTCCGACTCCTCCCCGAACGCCAGACCACAAAGCCTGTAAACCCTAACCCCTTAAAACCTTGAGCCGGTACCCACACCCGAAGACCTAATCCTCGATCGCCTGACGTTTTCTGATTTCAGAGAGCAGAGCTGAATTTCAAGACATGACAACTTACTTCCCCTTACAGACATGAGGCTTTAGTGTTTAGGGGTATGTAGAAGGTGACAGTAAACCTTTGATTGAATTATACTACTTGGCCTTATGCCTTCAAACTGAATCAAGAATCTTTTGGCCGGATGCAGCATGCCGCAACGAACTTGGTTGTTTGGTGGGGGGTGGTGGTGCGGTTTCTGGACGATTTCCGATAGCGCGAAGCAGACCATTGAGAAATCTACTAGTAGTATCCTGCCCTGCCCTCTGCAGGCCCCCTCCCCCCTACTGGGGGGCTATCGCCAGGCATTCTCTGGGAGTAGGGATGGTTTAGGGTTTAGGGCATAGGGTTTCACACACTCAACCTTAAGAGCTCCAAAGTTAAAGAAGACACCTTTCAGGCTGACCCTAAGAAACCTAGACCCTGAATCCCTAAACCCTAAACCCCACGCCCCTGAACCCCTGAACGACTGAACCCCAGTATTTAAAGATCCTTACACATAGTAGGGAACTTTTCCAGCTACTCGGACATGCAATGAAAGATCCTTACACATAGTAGGGAACTTTTCCAGCTACTCGGATATGCAAGGCAGACCAGGACAAGCCTGATATAGGTCCTGTAGGTATCTGAAAACTTGCTGATAGTGACAACGTCCCCTAGCCGTCCCTGTACCTGCTTTTACAACCCAGACAAACCGTTCCGATTCCTTTATGCAGTATGGACCCTATGTCGCGGGATCTTGAATGCCAAGCTGCTTTGAACAACAAAAGCCCGGACAGCAGGGAATGTAGGAGTACTAACTACTAGCTACTGTGTTACCCTACACCCCTAAGCCCCTAAACCCTAAACCCCCAAACCCTAAACCCCTAACCCCGACACCCTGAACCCTAAACTCATGAACCCTAAACCGTATTGCCCATGCAAGGCGCCATTAAAGGTAAACGTGAACACACGGTCCTTGAGAATCTGAATCCCTAAAAATGCCAAAGCACTAGAACCGAAACCCATAAACCCCGAGCTCACCATGCTGTTAGTGATGCCACCTGTTAAGAAGCCCCGCATTTGGTGCAGGGCTCATATACCAGCATGAACCAAACAGCTGCGAAGACGTCTCGCATGGAGTGCCCGGCAGCCCCCAAACCCCTACACTGCCGAAATGTATATTTACGTCTTACAACCCGACCTCCGAACCCTCGAAATCCCCGGCTCAAGCGACAGGCTATGAAGATAGCTTCAGCATGCCAGGGAGGTGAGCCACCACTCCCATGTGGGTTCTGGAAGTCGCCGTGCTGGGGAGTGCTTGGGCTTTACCGGGCGCAGCTCAGACTCAAGCAGAACTTTTGCTGGCCTCGACTGTAAGTAGGAAAGAGGGGCTCAAGAGCAAAAACATGTGGTACCTACCTTAACCACTACATCCCTAAACCTTTCTGCGACGTGCCATCTCGAACTTAGACTTTGGTGGACCAGGGGGTTGCAAGGCCACTTGTAGATTGGTTAATGGCTTGAGGGTTGAAGGCTGAGAGTTAAAGGTTTAGGGTTGAAGGTTTAAGGTTTAAGCTTCGGATGGAAGGTTTCAGGCTTCAGATGAAATCGAGATGTATCTACCAGACCTGCTGCTTGAAACAGCTCCCAGTTCGAGAGTTGTTTCGCGACTACTCTGTGGTGGTTGCGAGGTTCTGGCATGGGTTTTGTTCGGAAAGAGTCCTGACATGCCTGAAACTCGTGGTGTAGTTCCCTTCGAGCCCGCTGGCATCACACACTGAAGCTTCCTGTTGTTTTTACCGTAAGGATGTTGGGGCTGAGGGCTGAAAACTTCAGCGGACAGGTTTCCAAGCCTCGGCTTCACCCTGAGCTTGAACCATTCTGTCATTTCAGACAGCAGTGGGTTTCAAATCTGGGGGTCGGAGGAAAGATTGTTTGAGTCTGCATGAGTATTGAGCTTGTTTGGGCCTTTTGCGACAGGCTTGCTACTTCGCCCGGATCTTGGACTAGACCCTAAACCCTAAACGCCTAAACTCTAACCCCCCAGCTCCATACCGGTCTGATACACTTCAGTACCAGCCTGTGGTGACGGCCCAGCTTAGGAAGCTGAGGATCTAGGCCAGGGTTCATTTGGCACCACACTGGGCCTGTCTTCCTCCGCCTCTAGACTCAGACCGTCAGTAGTATCGTCCTTGCACTAAGGTCCCTCAGAAAAGGCTAGAACTATTTCATGTTCTTGAGGGCAAGCTCCTGTCAACAGAACTCTTCACTACGACAGATCTTCGGCCGAACCCTCAAGTGGAAGTACGAGTCGTGCGCTTCATGTTTATGGCAAGCGTGTGCCATTGCTGTCGCGAGGCATTTAAAATCCTGCAAGGATCCAGATGCCTGTCCGCAGTTTCGGTGTAAGATACAACCTGCACAGCTACAGATGCCTTTTTTTAGGTTCCTAGTATGATGAGGGCTTTAATGCAGCACCGAAAGATGATTCTATTGATCAAGACCCTGCAAAAGAGCAGGTTTGATCTCAGGGGTTTCATATACGTGCTGGAATAAACAGGACTGTTCATACCCCTTTATATCTATAGTTTTTATGCAAGCTATGACCCTACCAGGCTACACTATGCCTGATTCCTATTCCCTGCATGGGGGCCCGACATAACCCCGGAAGGATTTATAAACCAAAAGACACTCTGAAGGGCAAATATTCTTCAGGCCCATATAGAAGGGGAGCTTCTGGTTTTATGACGTCAGCCAAAGTTTTTGAAATCGTTTCGATGCACGGGCTGTTGAGATATCTACAGTTATGCACGGTCTAGGGTTCAGGGCCTGAGAGCTCGAGTTGAGGGTTTAAGCCCGATCTTTCAAGAAAGTTGCATCTTTGCAAGTTGGCTGCTACAGCACCACCAGGCCTGTTTTCGACAGGCGAGCTTTGCTTTGCTGAAAACTCCCCAGGTGAATGTGCACAAGGCAACTGTACACCCAGAACCACACGCCCGTAATCTTATCACAATGGACGATGCAGTCCGTTGTCACCACGAGCACCATAAGGTGCTTCATAGCTTCACACAAGGTGTATTCCTGAATAGAGGAACGTACGTAGGCTTCCTCAGATAATGTACGGCATCTTGCCGTGTTCTGAGGAATCAGTTTGATCTGCATGGGGAACATGTTTGAATCCGGAAAGCTATATGGAGCTAGGGATCATCTCATGACCACTCCGACATAGACTCTCGCGATAGTGGCCTTGACAGTTAGCCCGGAGTTGCCCCAACAGGCCACTATTGTGTAGTTTCAAGTTTGAGTTCTTCGTCCAAATCTGTAGCTTGTCAAATTTAGGTAGATGGACGATGGACAGCAGCTTCCCAGTGTAGGATCCCAAACAGAACTTTCGCATGGAAGCCTTTATGTATGAAACATTGACAACACCTCATCGAAGGCATGCAGTGGTCACCGCCTCAGTTGATCTTGATTTTTTTTGGCATCGGATTTCTGCCGGATGTTTTACAGGATTTTTTGGGGCAACTCGTTGGGCCTCGGGTGGAGGTGACGTAATGTTGTGGCGATGCTCAGTTAAGGGGAGGAACCGAAACCAAGGCGGATGTAGTAATCTGGGCATTTTTAAATATGTGTTATCTATCTCTGCGTGTATATAGACACACACATACATATACATATACATATACATATACATATACATGTACATGTACATGTACATGTACATGTACATGTACATGTACATGTACATATACATATACATATACATATACATATACATATATATATATATATATATGTATATGTATATGCTTATTTGATTATGCAGTATACACACTGTGACAGTACGTTTTGGGCGCGATCCGAAAGCCCAGACGGACACACACTTATAGGATGCCGAAATACTTGCGGGAAAAGCAAGTCTTGAATCCCAGAACACAGATGTCTGCCAAAATGAAGCTGACATTCAAGTTCAAGACTCCGACTCAGTGCCGGAGGCCATAGTCGTGGACCCCATTTGGAAAGTCGAACTGCGCCGTGAAGCCAACGACATCCTGCCTGGTCCAGGGTTACTGTTAGGGTGTAGCTTTGGGGGTTCCTTATTAATATAATAAGTATAGTATACCTTATTATAATAGTATAACGTACCCCCAAAAACCCTATTCTAAATATCAACGCCCCTACACGACCTAGTACCTAGACCTGATAGCCTCGCAAAAAATTTAGCACAAAACCATCCAGGCTTCCCACGTTGCCGGGCTAGCTTTACAAAAGCTTTCAGCAGATGATACACAGGAAAGGGTTTAGAGTTTAGGCGAGGGATCAGTACGGCAGCCTCACCATCGAAATACAGGAGATGTATTTGTCGCCTCGCACTCCTGACTACGTGTGTCCCAGAATCTTGTCTGCTCGATCAAGCATCCACCAAACCCGTCCATAGCTTGACTCCCACCTAAAACCCTTAAAAGCCCCCAAGCTCCGAGCCCTAAGCCCTAAACCTCGCAGACCCGTGGTGGATAATCCCTCAGTGTCAACAATGAGGCTTTCTCAATCCGCGTATCACACGGTCCTACTGCCGGCTTTGGCCTTGACTTTGCTCCTACAGTGGCTTGCAAGGCCTTTAGGGTCAAGTGGTTCAGGCTGTAAGGGGACCTGAATCCTGATGCCAAAAAGGGTTTATGGGGTTTCGGTCTGGCTAGACTTGAGTCCAGTTGCAAAAACAGAATGTTTCGGTGATTCCCGTAGGGCTTTGGGGTCGGCGCGTCCTGTCCCTAAACCCTAAACCCTAAACCCCTAACCCTCCATGACGGAATCAGGGGGGTCAAAGCTTGGGACTCGATCCGACAGCTTTCGCTCGCGTTGGGGCGGAGTACGACCTCTATGTGGGTGGTTGTCAACATGATGGTCCCTTTTTGGGTCCTTATTATAATACGGCACCTAATATTTAGGTTACCCAAAAAGGGACCATAATCTTAACAACTACCCATGTAAGAAGCTGGCTTCTAGTTCACCTGGACAACTGGACAAGTAGGTCACGACTTATTGTCTCTGGTTGTGGTTTCAGGAGTCGGGGGTTAGGGTTTAGGGTTCAGGGTTTGGTTTTTAGCCGTGCTGTTTGGCAGCAGTGGCTTGGAAATTGCAGGGTTGTGAATGTTGCTCCCCGGCTTCGCCGTAGTTCAACACTAGGGAGCACGTAAGCATAAGCATTTTATAGAGATATCCCCACCTTAGTGGGCTTCACTATAAGGGGCTTTATATGGGATATCCCTATCCTTACGGGTTAAGGCCTGCTCGAGATTTTCGCGCCCAGCCATCAGACGAGCCCTTGAAAAGAGGCCAGCTGCTTCAGAGAAGTTCCCCCCGGGCTTCCGAAAGCACCTCACGAAGTATCTCATTGCCTCTTGTCTTGAATGTAGCATCAATGTTTTTCTCACTGCAGATATTTATTCGAACAAGTTTGGCTGAACCCAGGTCGCTACTCATCGTCTTAGGTAACGAGATCCTAAACGTTACACCGTGCGCCGTGTGAAAAGCACATGTTAGGCAGTCCACTCTGCAAACGCGAAAGACAAAGCTCCGCATGCCTGGAACTCTTATGGAACTTGAGCATGCCCCCCCAACTATCAACCACATGCCCTTGAACCCTGAACCCTCGGAACCTACTTCCTGAAACTGAGTCGTCTCAATGACGATTACTGGTACTGTTTGGCATTTGAGCTGTGAGCTTTCATGAGTCGCCTTGATGAAGATGACTGTGCCAGCATGGTGGCACAGCGGTCACTTTGGCCTGTCTTTCTTGCGCAGTGCAGCCTACATCCGGCTGCCTCCGGAATAGTATATCCTAGTTAGTCTTTCAACTCCAAAGACAAGCCAACTCCGCATAGCTCCTAAGTCCTAGCTGCGCGAGAAGAGAAAAAGGCCCTTCAATGCTAGACTGAACCCTAAACTCCGAAGTCCTGGGGCCCCAGAAACCCCAAGCCGCCCAAGCCCAAGAGACCTGATCCATCTCGCTGCCTTTAGTCCCATTATCGAAGCCTAAATTCCTAGTAGTCGAGTAGGCAACCTTTAACCTTTGTTGGGTAGTGTAGTCCCTACAGAATCCCTGCATAACCACAAAGGCTAAGCTTTAGTTCCCCATGATACCTAACAAGTAGGAATTCGAAGTTTGAAGGCCCCGGATTCTATGTTGTACACCCCAGGATCCAGTTCAGTTCCTGCCGGCCTGCATGCAATGCGAGCTTCGACATCGAAAACCCGACCTTGAAGTAGGCAAGGCCCCAGAAAGTCCCGCCCTCTGCAGATGATGCACAGTTCTTGTAGCAGCTTCAAACTTGCAGTATACTGCAGTGCACACTTACTTGCCTTCATAGAGCCCGACGTCCGCAAATATTATATAATATACTGTACAACAGCAGCAGCAGCAGCAGCAGCAGTGCCAACACTTGCTCTATCTACGGTTTGGTGGGTTTGAGGAAAGCTACCTGACCTTTGCTCGTCGAACTGCTCAGCAGGTAGGGTTCATAGCTCCTCAACCCGGACTCTGCCGAGGTGTGGGTCTTCTGTGTTGCAGCAGATTGGCTTCAGGGCCCTTATGTTTATGACCTTCAGCTGCATGAAGGACATCATCTTGCCCTGCTGCTTTGACGGGGCAGGATTTTCAGTTCCTTCGGGATTTGGGGTGCAGGCTGTCGGGCTCTGGGGTTTAGAGCTTTTGGAGTTGGTGCTTACGGTCTCCGGGATGTATTTTGGGTGCAAGGCCTAGGGTTTGGGAGCAGAGACAGCGCTCAAACCATACTGGTCGAGGGGCGACTTCAACTTCTCATGACAGTAGAACGTTATTCTGATTATGAGCGGGCCTGTGTTGCACCCTATACTGTCCATGACACCGTGATTTTAGAATGACTTGCTTGAACTACTCATGATAAACGCTCATTGTTGCCTTCACCTTAGCCCTTGCAGCCTGACTGCTACACCGAGGCGCTTTATTCTGCTTATGGCTACTCGGAGCACCAAATCGCGGCAGCTTGGCATGGAGACAACCCCCTTAATTCGGATTTAAGGCTCGAGGGTTTAGGTTTGGGTTTATGGTTTGCAGTTTATATTGTGTATGTATATTATATTATATTATATTATATTATATTATATTATATTATATTATATTATATTATATTATATTATATTATGTTATATTATATTATGTTATATTATATTATATTATGTTATGTTATATTAAATTATATTATATTATATTATATTATATTATATTATGTTATATTATATTATATTATGTTATGTTATATTAAATTATATTAAATTATATTATATTATATTATATTATATTATATTATATTATATTATATTATATTATATTATATTATATTATATTATATTATATTATATTATATTATATTATATTATATTATATTATATTATATATATATGGTTTAGGGATCGCTTAAACATTTAGGGTTCAGAGCTTCAGGAAAGTAGATTACCGAAAGAGACCCCTGTGCACGGCCGTTCGTGTCATCCTCCAGAACTACCCGCAGCGCACATGGAGTTTCCGAAGCTAGGGACCCAAATACACTGCCCGAAAACAAGATATCCTTATTATGACATGGACCCCAAAATAAGGTACCCGCATTTTCAGAAACTCTACACCCTAAACCCTTTTTAGAACCCTTATAATGACCCTTTAAGGATCCCTTCCCTTTGAAGGTACCCCCCCCTCTTTTTTCGGAAACTCCCATATGCTCTCTGACCAGAGCTTCGAGGAGGAGGAGCTCCCAGGACCCCGTAGCTGCCCCCCAGGTCCTACCTGCGGTCTCCATGGTAATTCCTTGTTTGGGCGTTACCTTATAGGATCCTTCATTCTTCATATATAGAATAATAACCCTAAATCCTAGACCCATTGAATAAACCCCGAAAAGGAACCAGTGTGGAGACTGTAGGTAGAGCGTTGAATGTCTGGTGGTGCGGTGAAAAGTCGAGTCGAACTCCTGTACCGAGGGTTCATGGGCTATGTGATTTCATAGGGTTTAGGGTTTAGGGTTTCATCCCCATAAGGCAGCCTGCACTTGACGTCTCATGCTTGTGGGTCTTTGAGCCTCAGGTCTTGTTCGTGACTGGGTATGGAGCGTCAGGAGCTGCTTGGAGACCACTTTGGTATGTGTCTGTGTATACATGTATACAGGCACACATATGTATGTATACATAAATATACATGTATAAGCTTATGTAATGTAATGTAACGTAAGGCAATATAGTGTAACGCAATGTATTGTATGTATGTAAGCATGTATGTATGCATGCATGCATGTGTGTATGCATTTGCATGTACAGACTAGGCAGCAGTGCCTAAGTGCTTACGATGAAGGCATCAACAGAGGAGCCGTGACGCATCACCGCTAATTCCTAAGCCCTAGACTTATACTACACACACTTTTCATGATGCTGCATGCATTAAACCTCAAATTCAAAATTCAAAAACCTAAGGCCCAAAGGATTCCGAAAGGCTCAAAGTGTCCGGCTGGTCGCGGCCTTGTCGCCAGCATCAAACTGGCAATACAGCCCCGAAACAACGAAACGTCAGGTTCGGGGCTTAGGGTTTAGGGTTTAGGGTTTAAGGTGTGTAACAGTATGCGCGCGGTGGGTGCGCCTTTTACTTTAGGAATAGGGGGCGCACCCACTAATCGCGCGCTTGCGTCAGCATGTAGTCCCGCCCCAACCACCCCAACTCTTCTCAATTCGGGTTTAGGGTTCACCCCCCAAACCCCCCTCAAGGAGGGCTTTCTTGCTCTCTGCTTCCTTTCGCAGCTTGACATGTAAACAACAAGTTTTCTCCAGAAAATACAGCTGAAATGGATTGCTGTCGGGTTGTGGGTCCTCGCGGCCTGTGCCGGCCGCTCGACGTAAAGCAAGGGTTTCCAACAAACAACTTGGTTCTCGCACCCTGCAAGGCTTGCTCGAAGTGTGAACAAGCAGGGCAGGGCAAGGAGTAGGCAGAGGGCAGGCAGGGCAAGGGGCAGGGCAGGGCAGGGGGCAGGGCAGGGCAGCGGTAGGGGCAGGGCAGGGCAGCGGGCAGGAGGGCGGCAGGGCAGGGCAGGCAGGGCAGGACAGTCCTCGTATACCGGGAGGCTTTACCCTCCCTCACCGTTCTGACGGGACGCTCGGTCGGGGACCTCGGTCGGAGCCTCGAGCGCCCATGCAAATGGTCAGCGGAGCTCTCGGCAGTTTAGGGTTTAAGGTTTATAGGGTTTAGGGTGATTTAAGTTCCGGGCGTCGGGTCGCGGATTTCCGGATGTTGCGATTTGAACTGAGCCCCGGAGATACAGACCTCATGCTCATTGCACCGAGGGCTCTTTAAAAAAACGCATCATCCAAGAAGCAGTCTATCTCTCATGGTTGTTTCCAAAGCACTTGTCTTAATATAGCAAAAGAGCCGAAATATAATGTAATGTGAGCGAGAATGAGCAACGAATGAAGCGGAATGAAGCACGAATTCGGCTCTTATTAATACTAAATCAAGCTTTGGGAACGATACTTGACTAGAGGCTTCATCTTACCAGTAGTTCCCAGTTGTACCCCAAGCACCTAACAGGCACGATGGGAAAGATATGAAGTGAATGCGAATTCAGGGCCGATGGTCCCAGAGTTAGAGCGTTTGAAACCTTACTAGCCACGTCGGGGGGGGGGGGTAGAAAAGCCCAAAACCCCAGGTTTGCAGCTGTGGCATCGGCTCACTGGCGGACCGCTTTGGCCTTCTGGCAGCAACCGAAGACCGAAGCTGAACTTGCTTTATGCGTGAATGGCCCCGAACCATGAACTAAGTGAGGCCTGCTGGTTGAAGGGGAGAGCATACACATTTCCGGCTGGTGGATAAAATGGTAAACTCTTGGAGGCGCGGTTGGATTTGGTGAGTAGACGTAGCATCTGCAAACTAACGGTAGTTTTACTATATACTTGTAGGCTTACTTGCACAATCTGAGCCACGAGAAGATGATACAAATGTAGACTCGCGCCTCGAAATTGCCGCTCGCGCCTCAGGTGCTGAAGCCATGTTGCACTCCTACAGCACAGTCTCTGTCGACGTATGGCTTACGACTGCCATGATGATTAGAAACGAACTGTCCAAAGCCTGCCGCCGTTCATGGGTGTCCTTGCACTGTTGACTCTGGAGTGCGATACCTGAAAATGTCGAAATCCTATGGCCCTTGATCTTTGAGTCCGAGTCGCGAGGTCGCAAGAGATGCTGCTTGGCATACTGCGTTCTCCATGCCCTCGCGGCTATGTCGCCGCTAGACCGGGATGCTAGCAAACATGGGGTTGCACCAAAATTTGGAACTTAGAGTTTCGAGTTCTAAGTTTAGGCTTTCGGTTTAGCGGCTCTGACATCCGACATCCAGGCATATACAAGTCTGTGCACAAGGCTTTCGGTTTCGGAGGTTGGCCCATGCTACGGAACGGACAGACGAGGCCGAAGCTTGCACTGTTCGCAGGTCAGTTCCGAGGTTTTCTTCTGAAAACCCCAGCCCTTGCCTGCCCAGACACATTTCTGGCTTAGGATGCACTGGAATGTGCACGCGATTCTTCTGCTGGGGCGAGTTCTGGCTGGAGCTGGGACATCGATTCTCTTCTCGTGCTTCGACGCTTGCCACAACGGACCGGAGCCCAATCTAAGCCCGATCTACCCCTGAAGCTGCATCGAATTATAGTGCGTATATTCCCTTCTAGTCCCTTGGTACTATTATACGTATACAGCATACCATAATATCCCCTGGAGAAAGGTACCTTACCTGACAAACACTAGCGGCTATTGTTATGAATGTATGTTATTCCTTTTTTACTTACGGCATGGTCGAGTCTGTGAGCATCCCTGCAACCCCAACAAAGCCGGAACCTAAGGTAAGCAGGAAATCTCGCAAAGAAAGCATCCCGAACAAACCCTGTGCTCGATAAAAACCTGCATGATGCCAGAAACCTTGCACCTGAAACCCTGAAGCCCAAGTTTCGTTTTATGTTGGCATCTCAGGAGTGTTGGATGGTCTCCGAGCATACTGCAAAGCATAAGTTTTCCGCGAACTTGCTGGCGTATACTTTCAGCCGAGTGCTCAGAGACGACAGCGCATGAGACCGATGGAGAGGGGCGTTGTGCTTGGAGTCGTTTTAGGGTTCCTTGAAAAGGGTCCTATAAGGGTTACTATAGGGGATACTATAGGGGTACTATAATATGGGATTTGGGGTGTGGGTTTAGTCCAGCTTGCCGGCACACACCCAAAGCCCATGCTGAAAAAGGGTTTACGGGAAGCTGAGTTCTGCTGTCAGAAACGCATCATCACGACCCTAAGCCCGCGGGTGGCAAAACATGTCCTCAACAAACCCTGATGTAGGGTGTTTAGGAGTTTAGGACTTAGGGTGCAGGATTCAGCTACGATTTGGGATTTAGGGTTTCGGCTTAACTAGGATGCCCAGTAGTACCCGTATTCCCTTTTCGTTGTCCTGGGTTCCTTATAAAGTTACCCAACAAAAAGGGAGCCGCTTTTATTCCTAGGTTACTGGGCATGCTACGGTTGATGATATGAATCCTGCATTACCCATTTCAATCAATATGCCATAATTCCCATAGTTTAGGGTCCTTAAGGTAATGCAGGATTTATATCATCAACCCTAAACCCTATAGATCCCTTAAAGGAAGCCCTTAAAGGTACCCCTATAGATCCCTTTAAGATTTATATCATCAACCGTAGTTAACGGTGTAGGAACCTGATGACTCGGAGCTGAAACACCAGAGTACGAGGACCCTTGCCGGGCTTCGGGTTTTCATAGCTATGAAATACCGAGAGTACCGGTTTCCTTCTTGGGTTTAGGGTTTAGGGGTTTAGGGTTTAGGGGTTTAGGGGTTTAGGGTTTAGGGTACCGGTTTCCTTATAGGGCTTATGGTTCATAACATGAAACAGCAGGAACTCTCGGATCCTGAGGGCTATAGGGTTAATAGGTTCAATCGTTGCATTACTGAGGTCTCAAGTTCTGCGCAATGTACATGGTGGCTGTGTTGGCGGGCCTCGGAGCGCAGGCTGTTGTTGATAGCAGCAAGCTGACAGTGCTGGAAGGCCGTGTCTGGGCATCAGTTTCATCAAAATAGTTGCCCTAAAGCCTTAAACCCTGTTTCAAGCAGGAAAGTTGGGAGAAACGTGCTTCGGGGACTTTCTGTCTCTCCTTGGAGCAGTGTTTGCGGCTTCGTGCATCGCTTTTCGCTGGGACCAAGGTGTCGGCATTTATTACGGAGGCTACACAGCGCCCTACGACCTCTCGGCAGCCATGCTTCTTGTAGGGTTCTGCATCATCGCAACCTGCTGGTCGGAGAACTATGGGCAGAGGTCAGAGCCTGGCAGCCCGGGACCCAGAGAGTGGAAGTCCTGAATCATAGACTCATGGCGGCTGGTTTGATCCACCACTCCACTTTGTGGCGGCATGCTCTCTATCAGGCTTATACGCGGGTATGCAGGAAGTTTGTCAAGGTTAGAGCTTAGGATGGCAGGTCAAGAGGCATCTCCAATGACGCATAGTTTGTGGCATGGTGCAGTTGCAGATTCATGCGTGTGCTCATAAGGCAAGCTCCTCATGTGGGATGCGGTGAACCTGCTCATCCAGGACACGCTTTGTAGACTAAGACTAAGATTCAGATGCGGAGAGCTGGATAGACGAGTACGCAGCCTGAACCCTTAAGTATACTGGCACATCTTTGCAAAGCCTCAGATTCCTTGAGCTCGACTTCGGAGGCGATTACTTTTCCTGTATGATCAACCTTCGACATTCGAAGTTAATACAGATACATTTGTGACATGAGTGCTTTTTTGCTAATTAATAACAGCCTTAAAGCCCTGACGCCAACCTTCAGGTTTTGCACCAAGAGCACTATCGCGCCCACAGCCCTAGATCACAAGCCGGATGTAGAGCTCACCACTGTCAGGGGTTAGATCCCAAAGCTTGTATTTTTGACGCCAGTAAAGCGCCTGCTTCATCAATCCCCAACCCCGTTCCTCAACCCGTCGGCATGGTGAAGTCTGGTGTTTTGGGGGTGTGACTTGCTGTTGGGCCTGTCTGCTGAGACCTCGCAATCTGCCTTGGTGTTCCTTACAGCCTTCAGCTAGAGTTCGGAAGCATTCCCTGCCAAGCAACTCGATGCAAGACCCTGTTAACGAAGACAAAGACATCCGAAACCCTCCACCTTCATGACAAGAGAACCCTAAACCCGTCGCCACTATAGATGTACTATAGATGACTGTAAAGCCAGCAAAGAAACAGCTGGCAGGATCGGGACTGCCTTCGTCTCTGCCTGCTTGTCGCAATCTTCGAGGGCTCTATGTACGTTTTCGTCTCCAACTGGACGCCTGCCCTCGAGTCGGAGGACCTCTGCCGCTAGTTAGACTAGAGTAGAGGGCTGTAGGGCTTCAGGGTCTAAGGTTTTTTTAGGGTGCACGTGGAGTTTAGGATGCAGGTGTTTGGGGGATTTTGGGGGTGGGCGGACCCTTGCCGAATATTTTTTCTTTCGCAGAACTGCTGACTGTCGTGGTTGCTGTATTACTTACTCTTCTTCTCTATCATTCTTGTTCTTAGTCCTATGATTTTGTATCGGTACTGCCATACCTGTCTGCACGTATGTACGTGATGTGCTTAAATGAACCCCAGTAAATTATATAAACCCCCAAAGATACCAGGACACAAAGAGCATTCAGCAGCGGGGTCTGTGCAGCTGCCCCATGCTCTGAATGTTTGTCTTTAGTTGGCTTTGTAATGGCGTCGTCACAAGTTGTTCCTGCAATGCGGGCGGGTTGCTTATTATAGCTGTATATAGTACAATGCGCACGAAAACCCTATTCTAATCTTGCAGGCCCCTATAGTAGGAGGGAAAATCCAGGACACATCGCCGCCCCACGGTTTGGTCTTTTCGCTCTTCATGCTGGCAGCCACCTGCGGGTCCTCAGCCACGCGGACAGTGAATGGTTTTCAGAGAGACATTTCTTTCAGTCAAGACGATGGTTTTGATAAGCAGCTCTGTATGAAAGCGCATCTCTGGTGTGGTATAAAGAAGCCTTCAGGTTTAGGTTTAGGTGTAGGATCTCGGGGGGCTTAGGTTTAAGAAATCTTTGGCGGGTCTATCTGCGGTGGCGCTGTAAGGTTAAGGTTTCGGTTGGGAGCTCTGGCGGTCATGCCCTGGTGATTTTGGGAATCGTCCGCCGAACAAGACATGCTTAGCGATCGGATGAACTTCAGCTCGCTGGTTCTAGTTATTCTATATGATCAAGTAAGATGTTGTTTGTTGAAATTAGTGAAACCTTTGTGTCGGGAGTTGCACGGTTCCTACTATTTTAGGTTCGTTCTTTTGGATCCTATGATTGTCGATACGGTTAGGGTTTCAGATATTCTCAAACTAAACTCGCCTTTGATTCGTGCCTCGACCCTTGCGGCTGAGACTTGTAATGTCTGCGAGTATGGACGACCCAGACTTATCTCAGCCAGAGCTTCCTAACTGGGACTGTCCGAGCACGAAGACCCGACACACTAGATAGTAGGCTCCTACAAATATGAACCCTCAACATCAAGATCCTTAATACCAGAACCCCTAACTGGTGCCCGTCATGAAAAACTCCTTGGGTTCTGGCGAGGTCAGTCAGTTCGTTATGGTTCAACCAACCGGTGTCCAGTTGCCTGTGTCCAGTTTATGCTTCGCATGCTTGTTTGGATTTGGAGCTTTCGGCGGGGCAAAAGAGCTGTTGGTGGAGGGCCTATGGCTGAAGTCTCAAGGTGCACCTGGTTGGTTTGTCAGAGAAGAGGCGTCGCTCTAGCTGACTCTAGCTCGAAAGCACAAAACGAGCACAAATGAACACAATCATGACTAGGACTTTCCTGTGCGATTCCCTTGCTTTTTAAGCACCCAGGCAGCGACGCTGAGTGGACGCTTCATCAGTGCCGCGGCCAGCTCGAGACTAGAGAGAAGTCTGGTGCGAAATCATGCTCAAGACCTTAAGAGTTGGAGACTCATGGGAGTTTCCGAAAATTAGCAGTACCTTAGTAGGCGTCCTTAAAATAATAAGGATCCTACTATTTAGGGTATTATATTAGGGTCCCCTATTTTCGGAAACTGTCGGAGCCACTAAGGTCCACGCAGGCAGCTGCGCATCATCATGCTTCTGTGTGTCCTGTCGTTTGCCCTCGCAAGCCGCAGTGCATGCACAGCCGCTCGGCCTGGCTTCTGGAGTCGGGCTCAAAGTTCTAACTAGCAAGCTTTTTGGAGAACCCTCGTACAACTTTTTTCGAATCAAGAAAGTGCTTCCATACCCCTTACATACACAAACTGCAGACTTGTTTCGGATTGTAGATCGAGGAATCGAGGAAGCTGTGTTTTCCTGTGCGATGATATTTCTCTTCGGGGGACCACACTGGTGGCTACTTCTCAACTCAACATTTGGCTGCGTGCGATATACTTTCGTTCCTGCCCACGCCAAATTCCAATGCCAGAGCCCGCCCCGGAGTAGTCGATCCGGTAGCCTTGAACTTGTTTTGGGGGCAGTGTACTCTCTATAGTCCCGGAACGTTAGGCTCTGGTGCCCCAGACCTGGACAAGAGGGGTCCTTTCTTCGAGATGCACATGCTTCAAGGTGCTTCGTGGAAAGTGTTCATGATGGTTTCTCGGGTCCTGGCGCCTGTATACTAAGGTTCTAAGGAATGTGCAAAGAGAAGGGTCCAAAAGAGTAACCATAGATTGAGCTGATGCCGACCAGTCCTCGAATCCTCGACGCTGAGGCTATCGGCTACTGCCTGGTCGCCTTTATGATGTTCGAGTTCTGCCGCTTATTCCGCAAGCTTGAATCGTTTCTTCCTTGTAGTTGCTTACGCACAGCCTAGAAGAAAAGCTAATATAGGGGCCTAAACAATTACCAATGTTACTATGGGGGGGGGGGGTCCTTGTTATAAGTATAGTATAATGGCCCCCAAGCCCTATTCTGATCATTAAGGCCCCTCTCTCATAGAGCCATTATAGTGTCCCTTATAGTAACCCTTATATAGACCCCTTTTACGCCAGGCGTGGGTTGGTACTTCCCTTGCGTCGGCATCGCCAAAAGCGAGATTGCCCGGTCCCCGCAGTGCACTCTAGGGTTTGCGCTTTAGGGTTTCGGGCTCTTCGCTGCAACGTTACCCTCAAAATGACAGGGTGCTTGAAGCTTTGCAAAGCTGGGGGCTTGCTTTTGTGGCGCTTCAGTTTGGAGTTTTTGCATGCACAAAACCTTAGCCCCTAAGCTGCGGTAAGCTATACTTGCCTGTATCCTGTCTCTGGATCATGAGGGGGCCTGCTCCTGCTGTCGAAGGTGTCGGCGCAAGGTTCAGGGCTCCGATGCTCAAAGTTGACAGCTTGGAGTGGTCGGTTTTTGTAGCGGGAGTCTTGTAGAAAACCGTGAAGACTCCCGAAGGATCATGAAATCGGTTTTCAGTCAAAGCTATGGTGTTTGGCACGTTTGTATGGGTTTTGTATGGGGGCGTTGTGTTTTAATTTCGGTGTGCCTAACCTGGCGCAAGCACATGCCAGTTTCGGCCCATTTAACGTTAACAAAACCCTGTATTTACGACCACCATCTTAGCTTATATACCGAAAGATGAGGGAGTCAGTCGGTAGCTTAGAAGAAGGGCTATGATAAGGATACCCGTGCTTAGAGTGCTTAAAACTTACACAGCCTCTGAGCGAACTTTCTTTCGGAAACTTTGGTGCCGATTGGCCTGAACCCCCAACCCTAAACCTGACTGCAGCTGCGGCTTCTGCTTTCATACCAGAGATCGACCTTGGGCCACATCCCCACAGTAGGAACCCCGAAACCCAAGCAACGATCGTGAAACGCAGACAGCCCTTAAGCCCTAGTCAATCAAACCACTCAACTCCTGAACCCTGAATTCTCAAGACCCCGAAACCCCCCAAAACCCCTAAACTCCTAAATTCCTACATCCCTAAACCCCAAACCCTAAACCCTAAACCCCTAAACTCCTTCTCAAAGGTCCCAGATCGCATCAGGGGATCGATGTACAACCTCTTCCGGGTGCCGCTTAACGTGCCGGGCCGAGCTCAGTGGGTTTCGAAGGTTTACCCATAGGCTCCATACGGTTGATGATAAACTTCCTGCATTACCTTAAGGACCCAAAACTATGGGAATTATGGTATATTCCTTTTTATGGGTGATGCAGGATTTATATCATCAACCGTAGTAGTTCCTTTTTGGGATTACCTTATTGGATTTTAAATATGAACCCCAAAAAGGGACTAGTATGTAGCCTTTGGGCAGAGCTTAGGATCTGAGGGTTGAGGGTGTTGGCCTTCACCCTGAATAACCTACCTTTGTAGGGTTCCTGATTACGGGCTTCCTCCCATAAGTCCTTGAAAAAGTAGCCGGGTTCAGGTAGGGCTTAGGAGTATCTCAGGACCTCGGTGGAACTTCAAAACTCGGGCCGGCCCTGAAAAATCCCCTAAACTCAAATGGGAGTTTCGGAAAATAGGGGTACCTTATTTAGGGGTCCTTGTAACAAGGATCCTACTATTTGGGGTACTATATTGGGGTCCCCTATTTTGGGAAACCCCCAAATCCTTGACTCGCTTGCAGCATTATTGATGTGCGGGTTCCCTTACCGCATCTTTGGATTGCAAAGGTTCAAGTTCAAGCTTGGTCGGTGTATGTTTGTTTCGAGCTCTGGCATGTGTTCAAGATTGTTCAAGCTTGAATGAGGCTCTGATAATCCGCAAAGATGGTTTCGGTAAACCTTGCTTCTCTGAGGTCCCGAGCCCGAAACCCTCAACCCTAAACCTTGCGCTTCGCTGAGGTCCTAGTGTTGGTCCTCCTCCTCACAGACATCAACAGCGACTCCAGATTCGCCCTTTGCTCTCTGCTGCTGCTGCTGGCGATGCTTGTGCTTCTGCCTTGTTTCAGCAAGCTTGTGCTCAGGACGAATGGCGAAACAAACCCTATACCCCCAAACTAAGCCCTGAACCTTGAACCCAAGCCCTTAAAGACACAATGACGAATGCTTTTGCAAACCTTTTCGCAGCTTCAAAGCGCATTTAACGCCGACCGATTCTGCAAAGGGTGAACACCACGTCTGGTTCCTGCGACTTGGTTAACCGATATCCGCAACGCCACACCTACAGGAGCCCCAACCCTATACACTAACCCCTCTGGACCCGAAGCCCAAAACGCTGGCCTTGGGAAGCGAGCGGCTGTCCCATCACCGCGCACTCCAAAGCCGGGAAGCTGGGTTTTGGGGTTGAAGCTGGGGATATCGATGCTGCTGCATGTCGGCCTTGGTCAAGATGATTGGGGTCTTAAACTGGCTAGACTTGAGTCCAGTGACAAAAAGGGCTTAAAGCAGACAGCAAAACGAGACCGTAAACTGATAAGCACCTGAAGCACTATACAAGGAAAAGGCTTCAAAGACCCAAAAAATCCCCAACCTAAACCCGAAAGCCTGAAGAGACCCAAAGAATCCCCAAGAAACAAATCAAATGAGCCAGGCCACCTTTGGACTCGGAAGCAAGCCCAAGTCCTCGGACACCCGCGAGGCCGTCGTTTGTGGCTCATTTGCTCTTGGGGTTTAGGGTTTGGGTTTTAGGGTTTAGGGCTTAGTAGGGTGTAACCGACCTGCTGGACAACGAGGCCTGCTGCAAAAAAGGGTTTAGTAGGGTTTAGAGTTCAGGGTCCGTAGGGTTTAGGGTTTAGTAGGGTTTAGGGCTCAGGGTATACAGGTAGAGCCCTGGCTTAACACGGAGACTATCCTACTGCATACTAAGAAAGTAAACCTCGAACTTGAGACACCCTAAAGGCCTGACAGCTTTAAGGGCTTGGTGTGGAAGGAACTTAGTCCTGTGGCGGCTGTAAATAGATGGTCCCCATGATGATCGACATGAATGTCTCAGAATTACGTACACTCAAACCCTAGATTCTAAACAGGTTCCGCGCGCCTAGCGGGACGCTTTTTCGTTCGTGGGACTACCGGCGAGTGGAAAAGGGCCGTTCAAAAAAAAGCAGTATCTTTAAAAACACACGCACGAATCGACCAACGAATGGAAAGAGGCTCGCTTTGATATACAAGCTTGAATCAATTCTCTGCCGCAGGGCTTTTCTTACAAGTACACTAATGTACTCCAAACCCCGTTCTAGCCCTATGACTATTGCATATAAGCGTCGATGCTCCGCATCTAGACTTCCTTTACGACTAGGTTCTCACGGTTTGTTAGAGGCTGGTGCCTTTCGAAGGTGTTTGGCACGGTTTGTATCGACAGCTTCGGGGGGCACCCATGTCCGTGCAAAAGGCCGTGCTTTAGACTCCGTCTGCAGATTGCAACTGAACACCTGGCCCACGACTCAACCTTGACTTTGCCCCAAGCCAACCCTCTAAACCACCATGCAGGAGCCACTATTGAAAACGCCTGTGACCCAAGACCTTAACCCTAACCCGGAATTTCCCTACCTTTCTATGGGCTTATATCTGGACATCATATTGCGGAACCCTAGAAAGGTAGGTTATTCAGGGTTTAGGTAGACCTCAACCCTAAAGCCGACAAACCTGAAGCACCTGTAAGCCCTAGCAACAGCCGATACCCGTTGGCCTGTCCAGCAGAATGGGCAGGTCTCCTGCCAGCCAGCCGTGTGAGCTCGGTGGACACTTGCTTCTCCGTAGCCAATAGTATAGACACTTTTCGGTGTTAGGCTTTTGCAGCAAGCATTTCGAGAGTCTATAATCTTCACGGATGTTATGGGAGAAGAAAGGAAGAGCTGTAAATAGCAGCAGTGCAGTCTCACGACAGGAATATTGCACGCTCAATTAATGCTTAGAGCGTTCAACGCCCATTTTCCGATGTTTGTTCTGCTGCCGGCTGAAGCCATACGTTGGCAAGCCGCAGCACGACCAAACATCCTTGAAGTTTGCTACAAAAGCAATAAGCGCAGAAGGACTTCCCGTGAAGGTCAGAAGGAGCGTTCCTTCACCGACCGGCTAATGGGAAACTCGGAGCAGGATCTTGCACAGTCTCTCGATGTGCGCGAGGAAGAAGTGTTTCGCTTGGTTATTCTTCGCGCAGGCTGGGGAAAGGCACAATGCCTATGCCCAGGTACAGATGAGGTACAGGTCTTGCATCAGTTTTTTGGACAAATCGCCGCATGTCTTGCACAGCTCCCAAAATGCAAGTGGCTCACGCAAGCTGAGGAGAGGGCGTGCGGTTGTTCGTCCAACTCCAACAATCAATCGAAAGTCTTTGCTGTCCATACCCATAGGCTCCATAGTAGTTCCTTTTTCGGATTACCTTATAGGATTCGAAATATGGGAGTTTCCGAGAATAGGGGACCCTAATATAGTACCCTAAGTAGCAGGATCCTTATCATAGGGACCCCCAAAATAAGGTACCCCTAGTTTTCGGAAACTCATGTATGAACCACAAAAACGAACTACTATGAAGCCTTAGGGTATACAGGCAGCCAAAGGAGAGACCATTTAGCAAAGACTCGCACACGTGTGTGGCCGGGGTTGGTCCGTAACACCGACAGTTTCGCTTGCGACCTCTTTACTCGATCCTGTTGCCATCAGTAATAAACATAAGAGTATACAAATCATGAGTACAAAAGTAACGGCTATAACCGAGCCATCCGGGAGCCCAAAATCACCGTAATGATTGAGGCCCTTCAAGTTTGGCCCAACCCTCATCCATGATCTTCGCACATGAAAGGCGAAGGCTAACTGGACGCTGTCCTTGCTTTCATCGCCTGGCGAAGAGCTGGACGTTTGCTTGAAACCTGTGGGGAGCAGCCCGTCGGCTCTATGGAGCGCCAAAAAGAGTGGCACTTTGGGGGTTTCTGGGCATTGAGCGCTTCAGGGCTTAATGTGTTTATAGATGTAGGGCTAGGGTTTAAGTTAGGGTGCTGTAGCTGACCGGAAAAGACCGTGCGATGTTAGTATGGGTGTGCAGGGTCTTACCAAGTTGGAAATCCGAGCCCTTTGGCGGTCAGGAATCTCATCAGCTACTGCAGCGGTGATATCTCAGTCTGGAGCCCCTCTGAGCCCGCCTTAGCCATTACTAGTTTTTTTGTGTTTTTTTTTGTGTGGGGGGGGGGGGGGGGCGGAGTACTTGGACTCTGCATATACTTGCGCCATAGCCTCCTACCTGGAAGCATATCGTCTCATGTATGAAGGGTGCCTTTCAAAAGTTTGAAAGTTTACACAAAATTCCGGATTCTCCAAAAGTCCGAAAACATCAAAATTTTCGAAAACCCGAACAGCCCACCAAGCCCCAGAAAATGTCATCCTCGCGAAGTGCCATGCCCAAGCTAGCAGCGGTTGTGCACCACCAAGCCAGACCCCAAAATGCTATTCTCTACATATAAACGAGCAAGTTACCCCTCAAACCTTCTTGGCGAATGAACACCTGAAAACGAGCAAGCAACCTTTGATTTCAATCCTTTTGGGATAGCCTAACCGCGCAGGGTTACCCTGCGTGCCCCAGTATGGATAAAAGTCTGAAGAATGATGCAAGTCATCATTTCCTAATATTCCTTTGCAGAATTATGCTCTAATGCACCCCCAAACCTGTAGGAAGGCTGACGGAGCTCGCAGGCAAGATTTCAACTATGAATTTTACGGATGGGTTCAGAGGTTAGGGCTCAAAAGATTGACTATAGGGGCCTAAATGATTACCAGTACTATTCTCAGGGTTCCTTAGTATAAACAGAATATAACAAGCCCCAAAGCCCTATTCTAAATTAAGACCCCGATATTAGGGTAGAAAGGGCATAGACTTTAGTGCACATAGGGTGTGAGGCTTAGAGTTTTCGGGTTACCAGGTTTGTTTTCCTGAATAAGGCCCCGGGCTCCCGGGGCTTAGGGTTGCGAGATTGCGTTTCAGGATTTTCAAGCAGAAATCTCCACGCAAAAGGTGCAGTGTTCAGGGTGGGCTTACGGAACACAGCCCCTCAACCCTATCAATCAATGCAAAAGCGCACAGCCCAAGCCCAAGCTGAGTGGTAAGTTCCCACGCTACATTCGCAAATTCCAACTCCACGGTTCCAGATTGGGATTCCGATACATGGTTTGCGTCAGTTTACGTTCAGATTGTGGTGGGTTTATTCTTTTTGCAGTTTGTAGCAAACGGTAGTGAACATCCCAGCATGCACGCGGATCTTGCTCAAGACGTGATTTTTTGCTTCCTCCCCACGACGCAGCAAGCCTCAACGAAAGTGCTGTTGCTCTCAAGTACCATGTGATTTCCCTAAGTTTGGTCAACACTCTTTAGTACTAGCATCGTGACCACCATTATCATGAATATCCCACCCTCAATCCTAAGCCGAAACCCGCAAAACTCCAAAAACGCCTTACCGCAAAGCCTGAAGCCAGAAAGCCCGAAAACATAAGCCCCAAAACCATGAATCCTAAAACTCTAAAACCATAAGCCCGAAAGCCTAAGCCATAAACCCTGCAAACCTGAAGCCACAAACCTGATCCCTAATACCCTAAACCCTACCGCAAAGAAAGCCGGTGCTGGGGGGCCGAAGCTGGAGATGTCATTTGGAGGAGACCCGATGGTCTCGGGTTTTTTCTGGTGTTAGGCTTTTGCAGGTTTCGGCCTAAGGAGCAGTTTTTTTTCGTGTTTGGGGCTTTCCGGTTTGGGGATTAGTTGGGGAGCCGACGAAACTCATGTAGGGGTTGTGGTTTTGAAAACTCGCTTGCTTTAGGGTTTAGGATTTAGGGAAGCCTAAACCCTAAATCCATTGTTTGAGGCCTTTCGTCAGGGAGCGATCTTCTGGATCCGGCTATGGGGACACCTTAGTCAGGTCTGCTTGGTGTTAAGAAGGACCTCAGGTTCGGGTAGGGGCTCTTGTGCTCTGATTGTTGTTGGTTAGGCTGTCCGGTCTCGGAGTGAGGGTTGCGGAGACCCTAACACAGAGGCTTGAATAAATCATTGCCTATGTTGGGGGCTCCGTATTATACTTATAACATAATGGGCCCCAAAACCTTATTCTAATTATTGAGGCCCCTATATTAAACTCTCAAGCTCACGGTCGTGTTTCGACAGTTTTCGAGGAGCGAATGGGTTCGGCTAAGAATTCCCCGTTTAGCTGAGGATTTAGAAGCAGGTGGAGGGCCGAGGTTCGAAGATGTCTGTTGAGTCCGTGTTTGTCTGAACAGAGCAGTCTGCCGTTGGCAGGACAAACGCGGCGAGGCCAAGGGCTCAGTATTCACAGAATGTCCATGAGGACCCGATGATATAGGGCCTGAATAACTACCTATACCGTACTAGTTTGGAGGCTCCTTATTATACTTACAGTATGATGGGCCCCACAATGCTAATCTTAGTATTCAGGCCGCTATAGTGGTTGTTGTACTCTCCACTTCTCCCTTAAGTCTCTAAAGACCCCCTGTTTCGAGAAAGCCCCCATGTAAAGAAAGGTTCAATGTTCTGAACAACCAACCGTCAATAATGTATCCTGCCGGTCTTTCTGTCGACAACTTCCCATGTATGTGCAATAAGCATACTATAGCGATACTTCCCGCAGTGCGAGATCGCCCCACTTTCTCATCGGCATGCCGTTTCGAGAGCCTGCGATGAGTGTTAGCTTTGTTGGTACCCACTTCTGGGAAAACCTCAATTTGAGTTCGTTTTGCTTTACGGACCAGGCACGAAGCTTGAAAGGGCATAAGACCCGCACGCGGAGGAGGCTTCATGAGTTTTTGGGCGTATTGGGCGTTGTGCTGGGGGGTGCAGCTGTACGGGTTCATTTTCGTTTCTTGGTCGCTTTTGGTTTTCGTTGATGGTGTGTGAGTGTTGAATCCTGGGAATGCCGGATTGGGAACATGAGAAAGAGCCGCTGCAGTGACCCGCCTAACTTCTCGTGATGAGCCAACCCTGACTGGACCCAAACCTGGGCTCTAGTCACAGAGTAGCAACGCTAGCGGTTCCTCACAAAACAGGAGAATAGCATGATGGAGGAAGCACGGCAGGTGCCGTTTTTCGGTTCGGGGTACACGGCAAGCCCCGCAAAGAACAGCCCATCGGTTGATTACTGCACTGCCTGAACGTTTACTCGCTAAAGCTCAAACCTCAAGCCCCAGACCCGGAACCCTGAACCACCCCACGGTGGCCCCACGGGTAGGATAACCACTCGGGCTCTAATTAGTTCAAGTGTTCATCCATCCCTCCCTCCCCTTCCGTCCGTCCGTCGACCTGCTTGTCTATGTCTCCATCTATCTATTCGTATGCCGTATACACGGGCACGCATGCATGTGGCTTGTAGACCTGCTTGCTAGGTCCTTGGGGCCCTCCATTTTGCAAGTGCACTTTAAACCCGCGGCTGAGGATCCGTGGCCGCTCGGCGAAGGAATTTAGTAGGCGTTGGCGAATGACCACATCTTTCTACCCGCCTCCCATATATATGCACATTTGTGTGTGTGTGTACATATGTAAGGATACAAATATACATGTACATATCATACATCAGACTATGTGAGTATGTGCATATGCATGTTTATTGGCATATTTTTTGCTTATATGATGTGGACAGCATGAGTTGAAGGCTGAAGTAGGCCGAAGGTCGCCGAAGGTCGCCGATTTCAGATGTCTAGTCGCATGCAATCACGTCTAGCAATATCTACACATACTCCCAAACACCAGGTTTCCCAAAGCATGCATGCGCTACTGCTTAGCTCTTAGCCCTAAAACCAATCATACGTAAGTTAACCTTAGACCCTCAATGTATTGCGCGAGGTGCCGCTGCGCCTGTGCGCCTTTGTCCCCGTGGCTTGGCATGAGGCATAAGAGTTTAAGGTTCGAGAGTTTAGGGTTTATGGAGGTTTTTACAGATCAGGGGTTCCCTCCGGGGTCATCAATTCTAGAGGTGGATCCCGACTCTTTGGGGTCATCATTAGGCTTCCGCAAGATCTGAAAGTCTGATGTCTATACTCCAAGGTAGTTCACCTTCTTTCTTGACCAGTTTCAGGTTAGAGTTTCAGAAGTACAAAGAAAGAATGTGACCAACAACGGGAAGGAGGCCATTGGTACCACCCGGGTAGAGTTCAGTTGTAAGTAGTTCATCAGCATATCCGCCGATTTTCAATACGCGCATAGACTTGCAACCATGGCTTGCTGTCTGCTTCACGGATGGGTGAATCATAAACGCCATCGGAAACTGACAATTGACCGACTCGCCAAATCATACACCAACAGCCACCTACTTTCGTTTTCACAAGCTACATTCCAGCTTTCCTTGCCGGTCTTGGCCTTCAGGGATCCAAGGACGACAGGTTCTATGGCCGTGCCATGCTTGAGACCTGCGCAAGTCCCCGACCCTCAAGAAGATTCCTTAATTGGCAAGATCGCCATATCCGCAGGCACCAGGATCTGCAGAAGCTGATATAGAGAACTCTTGCGAAACCTCAAAAGCACTGGTAATGACCGAGAACTCCGAATATCCGGCAGGTCTGGGCGAGGCAGTCCGAATTCAAGGTTGGAGGGCGGGTGTGCATGTGTAGATGTAGTACATTAGTGCTCGCTTCCTCGTGAGTTGATGGTGTCTCAGCGTTGCATGCACCAAAAACTCCGGAGTCGAAGCTGGATCCTCCAGTCATTGTGGCCGTTAGGCTTCCCGGGCATCTTTGACAAGCTGCAACTTCGATTGTTGAAGGTGTTGGAGTGGTTTGCCGTCTGTCTTATGCCAGGAGGCACTGGTGCCTACAGATCATTCCTTGATCCTGCAGGTGCGGCGGTGCGAAGGGTTTGGGCTTTGGGCTACTAGGGTTTATGGTTTTCGAAGCAGCTCCTTGCTTCGGACGTTGTTTCACTGCCGGATCCAGGGCTTGGAAAGCTTCGACGAGCTCCGGGACCGCCGTGAAGCCCACAGCCGCAGAGACCAAGCTTTCTTGGGCAATCTGACAGGACCGGTTCTACGTGCATGCTTTCCTGTGGGACAACCTTGTGAGGTGCCATTATCGCAGGCTCAGACCTCAGCAAAGGTGAGTCTCGCGCTAAATTGGAATCCAGAGTGTAGAGTGTGGACTCCCATGTTGGAAGTGGACTGTCATGAAGCGCATGGCTGCGAACCTGACTCCTTGGCCCGGAAAGTCGCAATGTTGGAGTCAGCAAGTCAGGCCTACTCCGATCCAGAAGTTTGCGCTCCCAGCTGCACTGGCAGGGAAGGCATGTGTGGTGTCAGGGGATTCGGGTACGGATTGGATGCTGTCTGTTTTCCGTTCTGTGTTGCGCGGGTTGTCAGGTTTAGACTTGTGGGAGTTCAAACGACAAGTGGCCGCATTCGTCGAACGACAACAAGAAGAACCGCCCGAGCCACCGCCGTACTGGCTACCACCGGCAGCACTGGAAACAGAGACAAACCAGCCGAACCTCGCACTGGCAGCGCCGACGAAACGACCGAGATCCTCAACGCCCGAGTGCAACCAGACCACCGCAGCAGCCGGACATATGTCGCGATGATCTAGGCTTTCCTGCTGCTACTCCTCCTCCTACTCGTACTCCGACTCCCACTCCGACTCCTACTCCTACCCCTGCTCCTACTCCTACTCCTACTCCTACTCCTCCTCCTGCCCCTGCTCCTACTCCTACTCCTTCTCCTCCTCCTACTCCTACTCCTACTCATACTCCTCCTCCGCCTCCTCGTCCTGCTTCTGCTCCTTCTCCTGCTGTGCTTCAATCCTAGCCATGTTTGCTTATCCTTACTGCAGCTTTTTGTGCTGCTAACGAGCGTCCATCCCATCCTACTGAACAGAGGTGCCTCCGGAGGCTTTCCCTATAGGGTCCATGTACTCCTATCGTACATACATTGGCCTTTGCTATTTACGCTCTCCCAGGTGTATACCATATGGGTACATGGACCTCAGGGTTTCCCGATCTAGCGTAGAAAGCCTAACGAAATTAATCAGATTCTGCGCCTCTACATTATCGCCGACCACCCCACATCCCGTGATTCTCCAAGTCTCCCTAAGCTCAGACGACTACCTGGTGAAACCCTGAACCCCCAAACCTTGGACTAATCCTACAGCCGCAAAACCCGCCAAACCCTGAAGCATAAAAACCTCAACTCCGGAACCCCTAAACCGCAAACCTAAATAAACCCCGCATAATCACCTATCGTATCAGGTCCGCTCCACTCTGGGTCACTACAGGTGCCATCAGTCTGTGAAAGCAAAGCAGGCACTATTGTGCAAAACTCTGTATTGCCACTGTGTGTCTCATTTTCATGTAGCAATTTCCGTTTACACATATGCTTTTCACGACTTATCCATTTAATGCTTGTCATTATTCTGGCTGAACGCATTGACATCTGCCTTGTGCAAATCCAAGCATGGGCAAGTACCCTAAACCGACATGGACATCGTTAGCAGAAGCCACACGGCTGCTAACCAGTCGAATCCTTCATGAGCAGTGGGAAGCGCAAACAAACCACAATCGGCATCAGAGGCATGTGTGTTTTGCAGAGGGGGGTTTCAGCAGCGCGTGAGGCGGCTCAGTTCTTTAGCGCCGTATGCCAATGTTTGCCGTGTTGCCGCAATCAACTCTGAGCCTATCTGTCAAAGCGCATCGCTATCGCAAGTGTTTGCACGGCGGCGCTTGTCTCCAAGTTTAGACATCTGACATGGGCATTATTATCAGCCTGCACTTTATGTATACGGAGTTATGGAGGTTCCCGGCTCCCGGTGATCATAAAGGTCCTAGTTGAGAATAAAACAAACTTTTGTTGCGAGCCTTTCGAGGCTTCGGGTTGAGATCCGAGGGTTCGGTGTGTAAGCGTGGAAGTTGATCTCCCTTTGAGTTCGGGTTGAAGAGACGCGGCTTTCTGTTACATACTAAACGGCCTGACACAACCCTCAATTGCCAAATACCTCCGACCAAAGATTTGGATGGATGTGCCCATGATGATTTTAGCTGTGTTCTGCAGGCGCCCCGTTTTGTACGGCGGCCTGTGGCGGCCGGAGCCCAAGGAAACTTTGGTTCTCGCGGGCTGTCCTGGGAAGTCATTATGGTCAGACTCTAAGCTGGCTTGCGGGCGTTGTTTTGCTCAGCGGGTCCGTGTAGTTCGGGTGGGCGTAAAAGCGTAAAAGTGTAAAAGGTGAAATTCGTTTTTCGCGTTTTACGTTTTTTGGTGGTGCTCGCCAGTGTTTTGGACCAGACAAGCTCCGCGTACAAGCGTAAAAGCGTAAAAGTGTAAAACCGTATTTTTGTTTTTCGTTTTTACGCTTTTACCCTGCCCCGCGTTTGTTTTCGAGGCACGTGATTGTCTGAAAGCGTAAAAGCGCAAAAGCGTAAAAGCGTAAACGGCCGGTTCTCAGCGTACAAGCGTAAAAGCGCAAAAGCGTCAAAGCGTAAAAGGCGCGTTCTCTGCGTAAAAGCGTAAAACGTAAATTTTGTTTTTCGCTTTTTCGCTGTTTTCGCTTGAATTCTGCACCAAGGGCCGCTGAAACCGTAGTCTACACCCTGTAGCTCCAAGCCTAAACCCGTCCGGCTTACTATGTGGGCTACGGCGTCGCCAAGAATGCCTGGCCAAGGCCCCAACGAGTTAGCTGATGATGAAAAGTATAGAAAACAACTCTGTAGATTATGGTTTTGTAAAGAAGAAAAACCTGAAGCGGAAGAAGAAAAACAGAGAAAACACATTGGGAAAGGCGAACATTGTCATTACACTTTCCGGATATTTTTTGAAAAAGCTCGAGGAATCGAAGTGTCGAGCATGCATAATTTCATGTCTTGCATGGCATGCATGTAAAGGGATTGTTGCATGTATGGAGATTGGTAAGCTCGCAAGGTAAGATTGCTATGATTGCATGGCATGCATGCGGTCCTACTGCATGCACGTAAATGCATGCATGCATGCATGATCTCCTGTCTTGCTGTGCTTGCATAGACAAAGATGGCTTGGATTTTTTCATGTCTTGCCTGCATGGTATGCATGCATTTGCATGCAATGCATCATGTCATGCATGCGGTCATGAACGGTTTCTTGTTTTTGTTCTGCATGCATGCAACTTTCAAGATTGCTTGCAGCGGCATTGTATGCAGCACGGCAGCGGACTTTGCACCAGCTCGCATTCAGGTCGGAGTGCATACTCAGAAAGCTGCATGCATGGTGGATGCTCTGATCATGTATGGGCCCAGCAGACTCCTTTGACCGCCTCCATGCATTGAAAGCTGGAAATCTGCCAAGCAAGCGAATTATTCGGCATGCCCTTCATGCCTTCACTCCCTTCTCAGCCGCTTGGTCGGGCTCTCACTTGAAGCAGGGCCATTGCTGTTGTCGTCATCATTGGTGGCCAAACAATGTCGAAACCACTGCCACCACCAGATCCTGAGATTGCAGCTTGCATGCACTTAGAAGCATGGCATGATGAAACAAACTTCAGCCCAGGATCGTGACCCCTGCGAGATCGCTTCGCATCCAACACCACCTCCACTCAAACCTCCTAGGAAGAGGCGATCTGCTGCGGCCCGGGCTTTCATCGCGAGCAGGCATCGCGATCTACAGGGAGTTGCTGCAAGCAAAATGCTGCAGGCATCATGGAATGCTGAACCCTCCATAAATCAAAGATTGCATGCAAGCATGGATCAAACAAAAATTCTTTGCATGATCCATGCATGCATGCATCTTGGCAAGCACAATCCCATGTTCAAGCATGCACGATCAGCATGAGCTTCATGCATGCTTGAACGAGTCATGCATGCCGGAAGCAAGCAAGGGCAAGCATGCACATGCATGATTCTTGCATGTAAGCATTATTTCTTGTTGATGGGCCTAAAGTCGAAACAATCATGCATGCAACCTGCAAGCATGAACACATGCAAGGCAAGCATGACACTTGCAAAAGAAACATAAGCACAGCTGCATGTTTTCATCATGCATGGCGAGGTCGCAAATAGGCAGGCGGCAACACGGTCAGTGTGCCATCATTGGCTTTGTGGTACACGACACTGCAAAGCAGGTCATAGGCAGCGAGGATGTAAATCTGGGGGTCACCTGCCTCTTCACGAAACTTGAGCATGTTCATGTCCCACCGCTGCTGAAGGAAAGTGGCGGGGGCAAGCATCACCAGAGCAATATTGTGCAGCTCAATGCAGCAGTGCACTTTGGCACATCTATAAGGGCACTCGTGCCCTGGCTCATTGCCATGCAGCACCATGTCGCCTTTCTTGATGATAGCACCATGCTTCAGCCTTGTCATGGTGCTTGTCATGCACTCATCCTCCTGCCGCAGGACATTGTACTGCACCAAGCTTTTCTTCAGCTTTGCAGTGCAAGCATGCGGCTGCAGCAAATGTGCCCGCAAATGGAAACCCTCTTCTTTGCCCATGACCGACAAATGCTCTGCAGTCACCTCTTCCAGAAGAGATGTGTCGAAACGAATCGTATTGCTAGAAGCCGACCCATATTTACGGGCGGCTTCCAAGACCCAGCATGCAGGCAGAAATCCTTGTTTCTCGTAGCAACCATCCAAGTGGAGGGTCCAATGAAACTTCGGCTGCATCACTGGACCCCATCCTGCCTGCACCGCTTTTCCAAGGCTTCCTCGCAAGCAAGGAGCAGTTGTCTGGACCGAATTGGTGCTTGATTTTGATCGTTCAAGAGGTCGAGCACATGCAACCATGCTAGAAGCGATGCTTTCGCAGGCTGCATTTCTTCTTGCAGGCAGCATGTTGTGAAGTAGTGCTGCAATGGTTTCAACAAACCCAGAACTTCGGATGCAGTACACTTGAGATGACCTGTTTTTCTGTGGCTCTTGATTTTGTCTGCCGAAAACAAACTGCTCAAGGAGCCTTGTTTGTTGGCACCGGGCAACTGCCACAACTCCAAGTAGCCTGCGAAGGATTCCCACACATCGGCTTTGCCATGGTTTCGCCATGACTCGAATGCCCAACATATAACGAAACTGAGAACTCCGTTACTGTTTAGACAATGCATCCAGTCGTAACAATATTGCGAAGCCGGCTTGATCAATCCCAAAGCTCGTAACTTGGAAGACATGCACAAAGCATGTGGCGAAAATGTCCATCCACTTGCTTGTTGAAGCATTGCAAAGCGAGCCTTGCTTTCAGTTCCTGCCTTTGCCGCCAGCCGATCCCAACTCTGCAGCAATGCGCTGTCCGAGGCAAGGTCGCAGGAGGACAGGGTCAGGTGTCTGGAGCTGATCTTCCCCTCGTCGTCATCATCACCTTCACGTCTAACATTGAAAATGTTCTTGCAGAGCATGCAAACACGAGAACCGATGTCCTGGCGGTTTGCAAATGTTTGCTTCTGGGCACTGCCGTCTTGTAAAAAGACGTGGAGGGTCCAATGGAAAACAAACAATGCATCGGTTGATTTCATGACAATGCCATGCACCGGGTTCCAGAGCTGCTGTGCGAACATATCTTCCAAAATGAGTCTCAGGATCTGGCCGATACCAGCTTCAACTTTTTGTACTAGTTCAGTTCTCAAGACCGCCAATGTAAACCAGTGTCGCTCCTCGGATAAGCCCTGCTGTTGTAAGTTCAACCAAGTAAAATATATGCACCAAATTTTGCGGCCAGTACTGGAAAGTTGATTGCCGGGATGAGCTTCATCAGCATAAAGAACTCCCTTCCATGGGCAGTCCAAGCTTGAGGGGTCTTGCATGTGCATGTGATTGAAACTTCCTGCCTGTATAACCCCTGGAGCATTGTTGGTAGGTTGAGGATATGAAAGTGCAAATCCCCACCATCAATTCGCACAGCTGTGAGCTGCTTGAGTAAAGACCCACAATCCCCAGCCATGGCGGCAATCTTCTCCAGAACCGCTTGCTTGATGTTTTTCCTTCCATGCAGCTCTGGCACTCCTTCCTGTTCCACCTTGTTCAAAATCGCTGCCAATGCCGAGCACGACACGAAGGGAATGCCTCTACGGAAAGCATCGAGATGGTCCAGCTTCTGCTTCTTGGAAGCTGAGCTGGAGGACTTAGCCATAAAGCATGGCTTGTGATGATCCCTACCCTAAACTCAAAGACTTGGACAGCTGGGCATGTGACAACAACCTCATGCAGTTTTGCAATGCAAGCATGCAAGCAAGTGAGAAGCCAGCCCTAAGCGCTAGGAACAAGCAGCAACAGCCCTTTTTGCCGAAGGCTGGGCATGTATAGTGCATGGAATCCCCTTGTGCTACCTTTTTCAGGTAGGTCGGATGCAACCATGCAAGGTCGCATCGAAAGCCCTCGGGCATAGAGCACTCTATGCACCTGTGTGTACCCAAACCCTGGGACCTGGATCAGTGCTTGGCCGCCTTCTTCCGTTCCTCCATGCACTTCTTCCATTCGGCCCGACCGTTGAGTCGCACACCGGCGAACCCATCGAAATTGCAATTGTCGCAGCCATACACATTGCCACGGCATCTTGCACAGCCCCAGCAGGTGAGCCTTCCGTCCTGCTTGGCAGCCTTCTTCTCTTTGTTCATCGGGTGTTTCTCAACACACTTCGCTGCAGGCTTTTTGAAGAGCTGTGGCATCTTCTGATTGCAAGGCTTCCCATTCTTCTTCTCCTGCTTCGGTGCTTTCTTATTCTCCACTTGTGCCAATGCCTCTGCTTCGTACTGTTCCAAGCTTTTGCCTTCGTTTGCCCCTGGCACCGACTGCTTTTCCGGAGACTTGTTTTCCGGAGCATCGGCGGGGCTCTGTGCCGGTACGTGCAGTAGAGGAATTTGCAGGCGTCGGCAGCAACTGGAGCTGCCGGATCACCTCGTCCTTGGAGGGCATGCAACTCGAGGGGCATGACTGCTTGAGTGCAGCTTGTCTGGCTTCCTTCTCGGCAAGCTTTTCTTTCATGGTCTCCAGCCAAGTCTTTTGCTGCATGGCATGCATGGACATGTTGCAAGCAAGCTGGTTGGAACCCTGAGAAGTGCCTTTGAGCAGCCGGCTGGTGGTGCGGATTGGGCACGACTTGGACAAGACATGCAGCTGTGGCAGCTCTGCACAGCTGGGGTGAGAACCTTTGTAGGCTTTGGCAATCCAATCTGGTCCCAACTCTCGAGGATCGTCTGGATATGTCCGGAAGGCAGGCACATCACTCTGTACGTTCAGGCTGTGAAAAACGTCCTGGAAGTCAGTCGCTAATTTGTAGATTTTGTCTGCATCTGGTTGTTGGGGATTCTGCCAAAGATGGGCTTGCACATGCAAAGTGACACAGGATTTCTTCGTACATTCTTTGCGGCTCGTCAAGCCAATCACCCGAAGCCGTCTGGCAATGAGGATCGGGGCGTCCTTGATGTCACCTTGCATAAGCTGCACGATTTCCTCTTTCGTCAAATAAGCCACTGGGTTCTTCAGTGTCTGCGGAACTTTGACGAGCTTGCAGCCACCTTCCGTGCTGCCACTTGAAGCATTCTTCAAAAGAGCATCACTCAATGCCTTTTTTGTATTTTCGTCCAATCCAGACTGTTCCACAGACTGGAGCATGTTCACATACTCCCCTGCCGGCAAACTGTCGGCAGTCACGACCTTCTTTTGCAAGACATTCAAAAGACTCGCCTGGAGCTGTGGATTCGGAGAGAAGCTCAAAAGCTTCTGGACATCCGAAAGCTCCTTGGCAAAGTCCTTGCTGCCCCAAGCAATTGAGTCCAAGGACCCAGGACCTAAATGATTGGGGCCTGTGCTAGGAGCCTGAGCCCGTAAGCTTGCCACCAAGGGCCAGAACACGAACAATTAGCAAGTTTTAGGCGTCCCAAGTATAACTCAATCAAAACACGCTGCTTATTGAAACCTTTTCAGTACCGCAGTCCTCGAGAAGCTTATGCTCCTTCACCTCACGCCAAACCCTAAACATAAGACCCTCCAGGCCCTGAACCTCCAAGCAAAGCAAGATACCTAGGCTAGATGGGTGGCGTTTCTTTTGACGCCGTTCTTGGTTCCTGGTTTTTCACCTTTAGTTTGATTTTTCGCTTAGTCACCATTTTTTCACTTTTACTTTTTTCGCTGCTTTTACAGTTTTACACTTTTCGCTGCGTGGCGCGTTTTTACGATTTTACGGTTTTTCGCTGTTTTTACAGTTTTACTCTTTTCGCTGCGTGTCGCGTTTTTACGATTTTACGGGTTTTCGCTGTTTTTACAGTTTTACGCTTTTCGCTCCGTGACGCGTTTTTACGATTTTACGTTTTTCGCTGTTTTTGCTGTTTTCGCGCAGCAAATTGTTTTTACAATTTTACGTTTTTCGCTTTTACCTTCGTCCGTTCCGCGGCGGAAATACATCCGATCCTGGAATTTTTTACATTTTAACAGTTTTACATTTGTTGCCCCTGAAGTTGGGTTCTCTGGTTTTTACATTTTTACATTTTTACCCTTTTGCTCGCTTCCTCCGGTCGAAAAATGGATTTTTTGATTTTTCGTTTTTTACGTTTTTCGCTGCCGATGTGCGTCCGGACTCCTTAACTGTTTCAACAACACTAAGCCAGCACAGCAGACTTGGCATCGCAGAGCCCCGCGCACAGCCTGAAAGTCGACGTCCTGTGAATCCGAAGCTCTGCAGGGCCAAGCCGTACACCCTGCGCCGAGCGGACCAGCGCGAGCGTGGTCGCCTCAGGATCATCCTATCGCAAATCGTCAAGATTCGCTGCTTCGAGTTCAAAGTCGGAGTGGGAAGGGCAACGGCTGAATGTCACAGAAGGCGGTTGCCAGCTCGGTAGCGCTCGTGGTATCAGAATGTCGCCTTGCCCTAACCCTAGAACCGAACATTTTAGATCCTCTTTGGAGTCTGGAAACTTATTTGCTCGAAACTTTGGGGGAGGATCACGGTCATGAGAGCATTTGAGGGCTCTTGCTTGGTTTAGGATTTAGGGTTTAGGGTGTGGAAACCTGATAGAACGGCCAATGAAGAACCCTTGCAGCCTGTCTTGGGACGATCCTCAACATGATACCGGTTTCTGGTAAATCATATACTACGACTGGTATCAGGGCCCGAAAATGCACACAAGCAAAAACAAGGATAGGGATATCCCATATAACCCCCTTATAATGAAGCCCAGCAAGGTAGGGATATCCCCATATAATGCTTATGCTTATGTGCTTTTTGGTCCCTCAACTAGACCTTTCGAGTCCTGCTGGTCTACCATCTGCTGTTTCAGTTCCTTCAGCTTCTCAGCGAAAGCCGAGAGCAGGTCCTGGCTGTTATCATCCACACCATTCGAGCTCGCTGTATCCCATTGCTTTCTCTAAAGAGCCGTTTGTCTTCACATCCTCCTCTTCGCTGACCTCCCCATATGATCATTACAAGATACTGTAAATGCAATATGCATGAGTAATTGCCTACCACTAAGACTACTACCACTACCACCACGATTACCACCACTACTACTACTACTACTACTACTACTACTACTACTACTACTACTACTACTACTGCTACTACTCCTGCTATGGACTACTAACTACTAACCACTAACCACTAACTACTACCTACTAACTACTAACTAGTAACCACCAACCACTCGCCACTAACCACTGACCGCTACAAACTAGTGCTACTACTGCTACTACTACTACTACTACTACTACTACTACTACTACTACTACTACTACTTGTACTACTACTTGTACTTCTACTTCTACTTCTACTACTACTACTACTACTGCTACTACTACACCCTCCTACTCCTACTCCTGCTCCAGTTGCATTACTCGTACTGGTGGCCGCCCTGCGCCACATGATCCAAACGTGAGGGGATTGAATGGTCAGCTGTGTTAAGATTCCTGGGCTTCGGTCTTGCTGCACATTGGCTTGAAGCATCCGGAATCATCGCACAAGCCTGAAACAAGGAACATGGGAGGATGTAATCAAATGTTTGTACTGCCTCCGTGGGCTTTTCGGGCCTCCTGTATACTTACAAACCGTCGTTTTGGGGTCCCTCATGTCATAATGAGACGAGGATTCGCAAACACACTGAGGCCATACCGCTATCCCCTCAGATGTTTACATGCCCTTGCGCTAACCCTATCTATCCTTCCGTTGTAATTTCCATCGAACCAACAAGGCTCATTTGAGCAGCTGGGTGGATCCTTGGCCTGGGGTTAAGGTTGCACACCGCGGCATTGGAGGGCTTGCTTCGCTTTGGGTTGCAGGGTTTGGGTTGTCGGGCGCAGTAGCGGGAGAAGTACAGTCAAGTGAGGCATGCTCAGGTAGTTGGTTCCCTTCCCCGAATGTGTGTTCGCCGAGGAGCGGCTCTTGTGCCAGGCTGCCGATGACCCAGATTTGGCAGATCTGGTGTCAGAGGTGGCAGCCGGAGGCTCAGACCAAGGGGCCTTGAACGTGGTTAACAACCTGCTTTCTTAGAAATTCTTTCAATATTCTGTCGGTTTTCACACCACCAAAGTTTGTCGTTGTATGTTGCTGCGGGGAGGGGGGGTGGAGTTGAAGGCAGCTTTGGCTGTTGTCTTGGCATGGATTTTTGGAGACGCCATTGAAACATTGGGCGGATTACAACATATTCTCCGGGCGCCTTGGTTCACGGCACTTCTGTCTTCATTGCTTATTAAGTAAATGGTTCCCATGTAGAAGCAGGTTGGCCACATACGTGTCATGGGTTCGGGGATTTGAGCATGTTCCGTATCCACCAAGGCAGCCTTTCGCTAAGGTTTATTTGTTGGACCAATTGCAGACATGGTTTTTGCAGTAATTGTCAGACTTAGACTCCTCAGACATTACATCCTTCCTCGCAGGATCAGTACATGTGACGCGTTGAAGCTGCGCGCTACATCACTCGAACTTAAACCGGGCAACACCGTCTACCAATACGATCCGCCTCCTTGTTGGTCGCCCTGAACACTTCAAGATGCAAGACTTCATCAGTGGCCAAGATGTCGTACTTCACCTAGATTGTCCTGGGCCTTGTGTTCTGAAGGTAGTTTTCCTTACACTTCACCTTGCATGTTTGTCGCTGGTATATGACCGTCCTGTGCAGAGTGGGTGTTGGGCCCAAAACCTTCTTTGGCTCCTGGAAGCTTGGTCCCAACCTTGCGGCTTTTGTAGCGGCAGTCCTCATTCTGCACACATCGGATATGGCGTGAAGCTGGAGTTTGGTTTGGAATGTAGGCCTTTGAAGACATCATCCTTGGTTTGCCCCTTGTGAATTTGCACTTCACCGCTGAAACCCGAGGCAATGTTTCATAATAATCTTGTTGGTTCGCCCTTGCTCTGGCAACCAGGCCAACCTTCGTCTTTTCAAGGCCAAAGTGCGGTGTTGGAATGTGCATCGGGGATACGGTTTCGGGGTCTGATAGTGGATCTCGAGATTTTTTGTCAGGAAGCCGTGATTCCATAGGCATGCCTAGTAACCATTCAGTACTTGGCGGATTGGTAGCGTCCCGTTCGCAGTCGTTTCGAGGTTTAGGGTGCATCGTATTGTATTGAGGAATTATTTTGGGCTTCGAGGTATTCTTCGGAGAGATAGAGCGCTCAAAATAAGTCCGTTAGCTTAAACCCGAGTTAATCCTTCGAACATCATTCCGTGGGGTTCCTGAATAAATTCGGCACTGCCTGAAGGAACCCAAGAAGGCAGAATGCTACAGGGGTCGGAATGAAAGCTTATTCCCCATAGGACTCTATTGTAGTTATAGTATTATACTCCACAAAACCCTATTCCAATCATTGAGGCCCCTATAGAAGTCCTCTGAACCCGAACCGCTCAAACCTATGTTCTACCCAGATTCTGGATTGAAGTGCCTTTCTTCTGATGACGCTGTTTCTTTCTTGATCGGGTCATAAATACTATTCAGACCCTTTTCAAAGGAGCCAAACACGTGTCCTTATTGAAAGTATACATTCATGATTTTTCTTCGAGCCTCTGTGGACAAGGGGATGCCATGGCAGTTTTGTTGTTTAGGGTTTAGGGTTGGGTCTGATGCTCGATATCTTACTCTTACTGTATGGATGTTGCACTTCGGGTTTGAGCAGTTTGGAGGTTTGAGGTTCAAGGGTCCCTGTTGGGTTGTAGGGCTCCCTTTAATCCTTAGTCCTTACGAGTCATGTCCGGGGTTTCAGGTTCAAGTCTTGAAAGATTGGTTTTTAGGATTTAGGTTTCGTGTAGTGTGGTTAGACGAAGGGTCTACTATGCCTGTTGGGGACCATCACCAAAAAGGAAGCCACAGCGGTGTAATGCGTTTACCATCCCTGGTGCTTAGTGTGCTATGAGCCTTATGCACCCCCTACGGAACCTACGCTGTCGTGTAATGCTAAGTACGGCCATGTTTGCATAGGTCCTTTGCCACCTGCGGGGGACCCAGTAGTCATCCGCATGTTGCGGAATTCGTGAATTCTACCGCCGCCCCTCTTGCGGTATGCGTTTCCAGCGAAAAGCCCTCCGCTCCCGGTCTTCTACACCACGATTGCCAGTCGAGGCTTAAGGTTTGGATTTCCGTTCCTCCTGAACCTGGAAACCCTCAATTAGTTGCATCTCCACCAATCCTTCGAAAAGAGCGAGGCTTTAGCACCCAGAAAGAATGCTGAGCCTCTTCACCTCATGCCCTCAGCCCTGAGCTCTCGAGACCCGAAATAACCGCTCAGCCATCCCTGACCTTCATCCCAGCTAAAGCTATGGCCTCTCAAGCCTAAAGAGCCAAAGCATGTAAGGTCTCTACTCAGAAAACTAAACGCCTCCTGTTTGAAGGGCAGGTTGAAATGACATCCCTTCGTAGAAGGGGGCTTGGGATTGTTGTGGAGGGCTTTCTACCATGATAGTATTCATGTCTCTGATTGTCCGCAGGTAGGCACATTGCCGAATCGAAAGAGAGTCGTCGCAGGGATGAACAAGTTGTGAAGCAGAGAGCACACAAGGCAAATCACTGGCTGGTGTTGATAAAAATTTCGTGCAGCATAGGCCGAGTTCGCGGCCGATTGCGAGCACCATTGCGCCAGGTCGCGCCTTCTGCGGGAACTTGGAAAAGCATTCGCGAAATCGGTATC